AAATAGAACCCACTAACTCTGAGAATAATATAACAGAGGCGTTTTTGAAGATTCCATCCTTGGTGGTCCGGTGACATTGTGGGCCCCCCCGGCTCCCTATACTTGCAGAGGGGGCCCAGCGGATTGCAGCTGTACTTTACAGCATTTCCCTCGCTCTAACTCCCGCGAGATGTGGTGTGCGCGCCGCGCAGAGCATTGCCACGGTAATCCACGGCAAGTCTCACGGGAGTTAGAGCGAGGGAAATGCTGTAACGTACAGCTGCAGTCCGCTGGGCCCCCTCTCTGCAAGTATAGGGAGCCGGGGGGGGCCCGCGGCTGCACCTATATATAGCGATCATCGCTATATATAGGTGCAGAGAGTAATTGTGGGGCCCTGGACTGCCGAAGCAGTCCGGGCCCCCCCAGGACTGCCGGGCCCGTGACAACCGTTATGGTTGACTCCCTCTGATGGCGGCCCTGGAAGGCCCAGCAGGGTAGTTTAAATTCTGACTTCCTCTTTCTATTTACACATAACTATTAAAGCCTACATAAATTAACAGAGAGCTGATAATGCGAACCAGTAACCAGAATGTTACTGCTGTATAAGGCGTTAGCTGTATCTTTAACACATCCATATAAAATAAATGTTAGTAACAGATTTGTACAAAATACTGCACTAAATTGTGTGCTGATAAAATCTAAAATAATCCTGTTTCTTTTTATAAACCAGGTCATTATTGTTGCTCTAAAACTTGTATCACCTCCAGTGTCCCTTTTGTATTTGATAATTGTGAGATTATTATCCAACTATAGTCAGTATAGATATTTGCTGAATTATTTACAGAAATGTAAATCGCATGGAATTCAAAGTAAAATTCATATACAATTTGTCATATAAAAACATAGTCATATAAAAAGGGTAGCCCTGTATTATGTATAAACACTCCATTGAATATGTTATTATTTTAGCATTTTAGTAGACATATCCACAAATAAAAAACCATTCATGTATTTTTTTCTGGTTGTTTTCTTTAAGGGTATATATAAAAAAAATAATTCAAAAGCTACAGATCTGCTGTCTGCAGCCTTTGCAAGTCCTTCCCTTCCCTCCTCCCCTTTATCTTTCAGTCTGTGCTGGGGTATATACAAATCAGAGACTTCTCATTGAGAATCCTTTGTGCTGTAATTTCAAGCACATGCACTTCCACACAATCGCCGTTTTCCTATGCTTTCCAACGAGTTGTAGCACCGCTCATTGAGAAGGGAGGAAGGCAACGCGTGATACCAAAGCTCTCTGGAGCTAATGGAAAAGGAAGAATATCTGTGTTTCTGCTCCTGTTTATTAAAGGGCTGGCACTTTCATAAACTGTCATGAAAATGACAGAGCGCAGACACATGAAGCACTTCGGCTTGCTTTATACCTGTGGAGTGTCCTTTAACAAATATCTTAGTGCTTAGTGTACTAGCATGTAAGACAATCTTCCCGGAACTGCGTTTTGTCAATGCCTGTCGCTAAAGCTGATCTACAGGTTTGGTAAAAATAAACATACGCAGAACTTAGACATTTTCTTTATAACTACAGGGCATATAGGATTGTCGATTTTTTTTTTCGACTTTGCAATTTTCAGAGGTCTATAACAGAAAAAGTATAGGTTCATAGTTTTCAACTGGTTATAAGGCTGGGTAAAATATAATTAAAGTGTTACGGCTATATTTGGACTGCAACTCCCATCACTCTTCTTTTCTGGTTACCCTGTCATGCTTTCTGAATTAGTATCCTTCTTGAATGCTTCTTGCAGTTTTCTTCATCTTATTTCTGTTTGTATGGGTTTGTTTGGGCTGTTAGTGGTGTAGTGTGTATATAGGGGGTCTTGGTGGTGCCTTGTGTATGGTTAGGGGGCCGTTTGTTGTTTAGGGCATATAAATAGGGGTGTGGTGTGCTGATCATGAGATGCTGGTGGTGTAATGTGTATAGGGGTGGGGGGCTGTTTGTATAGATTGCATACTTCCCACCTCTATTTAGGAGGGCAGGCAACCCTTATTTTTTATCCTAATAGCCACCTTTTTCTAGGAGCTCCATATTGATGGTGTGTCTGAGTGTATAACAGAGCTCTACAACAATAATACTCACATTGATATCCCTTTAAACCAATGTTCCCCAAACTCCGGCCCTCCAGATGTTGCTGAAATACAACTCCCATGATTCTATGAATGAACTAGATAGACTGAGAATCATGGGAGTTGTAGTTCAGCAACATCTGGAGGGCCGGAGTTTGGGGAAGTCTGTTTTAAACTATAATAAATGTATGTAGAAACTAGTGTAAATAAGATACATTGTTCTTTTCTTAATAACATTTGTTTGCAAAAATTGTTATTAGTGAGTCGTCTTGTATTTCTCAGCCCTGTAGCATGTGTGTTTGAATAGGGGCCGTTTTTGGTGTATTGTGTTTGTGTGGAGGGGCTGTTGGTGGTGTATTGTGTGTAATGGCACAATGAAAGGAATACAAAAAAGCTTACAAAAAATTAGCTGAAACACTAATAATAAACTTCCTCTCTCAGCCATTGACAGGGAGGGGAGGTATATAAAAGTCTGGCGGGTGCAAATTACTTGTATTTCCTCTTATAGAATAAAGCATTACAATGTTGCCATGGTAACCCTGCATCAATGCACAGGGCGGCTGGAGCTTGCAGTAGTTATTGGATGTGCAGACCATCATAAAAATGAGTTCTAGCTAGGGGAGGTATTGATCAGCGGGATGGTTTCATAGGTGGGGAGATGGATATATTTGAATGGGGCAAGACCAGGAAGACAGAGAAGAGCCAGTACAGGGAATCAGTTAAAAAGTAACTCAAAAGGCTTGTGTGAATAGGTGACAGAGAGGTACATTTGTTTTGGCACATTCTGGTTATAGACTCGAGAGGGAAGATATTCATAGTGATAATCACTAATCTGTGAATGGTCAGGAATTCAAAGTAAATATTAAATTTGAGGCCAAAATTGCAGATTTGAAAACATAACTGATTGAAAAAAATGTAAAATTCATTTTAAATCCCTGACAATTCACTCATAAGTGAATAGCCTTATTTATTTACTTAATATATCCTTTTTAAGCATATCCTTGTAATAAATACCTTGGCACTGAGAGGAGAGAGCATCAAAACTAAGCAACTCCATTCAATATCAAACACTCACAGAGTAAAGAATAAGCTGTATGGTCAGACTTTGTATAATAGCATTTACACAAGCCTTAGCTCATCATGTCCAGGAGGATAAAGTGCTATTAGTATCACAGCACAGCTTATGGTTTTATATTTGATAGTACATGGAGTGCAACTGGTATTTCTCAGTCTTGCTTCACATCAAAGATCCACCTCTCCCACTACATTTCAATATATCATGTACTGTCATACATATGCTATTTTATACTAAGCTGGTCTTCTGCTATTCCCCCATTTTGTGCACTTATAACTAGTCTTTTTAAACTCCATTTTTTTTATTTAACATTATATAACAGTGAATTATTTCGCCATCGGGAGTCTTTCGCCTTTTACTTTTTAGGCCCAAATAACCTCAGCATCACCAACCTCACCAAGCCTCATGCCGTTCTGCTGCCCTGTGATATTGCTTTGTTACATTTATGTTTTTTTTTTTTGTTTTCTTATTGTCCAGTATTGTATATTTTAAATTGTTCAATAATAATTGTAACAGTATGAGGGGACAGTATTTATAACACATAAAAATGTCATACAAGTCAAAAAGGCAGCAAAACAACAAGAACATGCAAAGTATCTTCCTTAAAGACCCTCTCACACACCCTGTTTCCATCTCTCACACCCCACTGAGTTGAGCTGCGGACCTCTTAGCATTCTAGATCTGGTTGCCAAAGCACTTAAAAGAACCCTGACTATGTTGTTCCATTTATAAAAACTGTTGGAGTGACTGAGCCAATTTATGTGTAAAAAAATCCTACAATAGGACTCGGAGGCCAGCTGGCCAGAGTCTATTGTATATCCATAAAAACTCACATTCTTTCTTGATAATGATTTAGAACCTCCATTCACAACTGAAGAATAGGTGTGGAAAATAATGACTTAAAAATTATACAATATAAAAAAAGCAACATCATTTAGCATTATTAATTTTGTGTGCAATTTTAAAGTAGAAAACTTGAAATATTTTCCTTATACATTTAATGTACTGTTGTATCTACAAAACACAATTTAACCTGGCCATGACTATCATTTATCAAGATTTACATGCCATAAAGGGTTCTTTATAGAACACAGTAATTAAGGGTTAAACATTAATGTTTTAACATATACATGTGCTAAAAAAGCCTTTTTTTTTTCTTTAACATTTTGTTTGCTAAGGCATTTGAAGACACTTTGTTTAATCTATTGACTCATATTAATGGGAGTTGTTTTATTGGAGGCATGGCTTGGAGGTTCACCAAGATGGGTGATTTGAGAGCTCAGCGCTCCCTTGCCCACTAGCTGAATGTCCTCGTCCTGATATCCCATGGAGAGAGAGTGGTGGCCCAATAGATTATTTTCTTTCAACCCCTGGGCCTTCTGCAGCACGTGATCTTGGCCTAGTGTACCTCCAAGACCACGCATGACACAGGATCCGACCTGGGTAGTTGAGGTGCAGAAGAGAGTGCCTCCGCAAACTCAGTGTTTACCAAAGTGGACTTAGCTGCAAATAACCACAGAGATAATGGCCACCACCCACACGGAGCTAGCTGATCTTTGCTCCGATATCGCTAGAATGGATGGTAGGGTGGCCCTGATAGAGAAACAAGCAGAGCAGGCTTAGCAGCTCCACAGGTCTACACAACTTGCTTTGCCAGCCTTGGACTTCGATAATCGATTTAACAGCTGTGCTGCTGGATATTTTCCATTTCATTTTGGGAGAGAATTGCCTGGCTGACATCCAACTACAAAGGACTCAAAGTGCACTGCAGCCACTGGCCCTGGAGGGGACTCCCAGGCATGTGATTTGCTGTTTTCACTCCTGCTCTATGAAGGAAAAGATTATGCTGAAGGCTCGTACTTACTCCACATGGCTATTCAGGTTGGTGGAAGTGACCATTTATCAGGACTTATCGCTGTGGACTCTGGATGCAAGATGGGCCTTAAAACCAGTGACCAGTGACCAGAGGGACACTGTAGCTATGTGGTTTTCTTTCAGCATGTCTGTGCACAGAAATAATGTGACCCACACTCTCAAGTGGTCTGAAGATCTGCTGGCTTTCCTGCAGGGTCTGGATCTCCTAGGAAACTCAGTTCGGTCCAGGCTTTTACGTTTTTGCTCGTACAATGTTCACAGACGTAATGTCCCAGAGTGGAGTTCTCGCTTAGTTAGGGAATTGTGGGCAAGTAGGATTTCCATAGTGTTTTTCCAGGAGACACATTATAGAGAAGATGCACATCCAGTGTTGTCAGACTCTTGCTTTCTTTTGAGCTATTTCTCTCACAGTTCAATGGCTAAATATGCTGGGGTGGTAATTTTGATCGCTTGGGACATTCCCTTCATTCTTGGTGAATTTCAGAGGATCCAGCAGCTGGAGATATTTAGAGAGGGGATGCTGTTGGTGGAAGGGGATTTAAATGCCCGACTGCCCTCACTGATGGATTCTTCTAGGGGATGCTATGCACTCTTTGAAGCTCTCCTTACACAGATTAGGGCTGGTTGGCAGTCCAAGGATCCGAAGGGCAGAGATTTCTCCTTCTTTTTGCAAGTGCATTCAACCTATAGTCATATTGATTATGCATTTGTTGCACGAGAATAATTGTCTCAGCTGGTTAACGCTGATATCGTGTTATGAACCTGGTCTGACCATGCTCCAGTTGAAATTAAGTTATGGGCGCCACTATACCAGCCACCAGAGAGGCATTGTAGGAAAAACATAAATTTCAAAGGGATGCAAGCTTTTTAGAGCGAATTATTTTGGACCTACAGCAATGCTTCACAGACAATGTTGACCCAGAGATATCTACGCTCACTATCTGGGAATGCCATCAGTGCTTTATTTGAGGCCAATTAATACAAGAGGGGTCTAGATAGAAGAGGGACCTGTCAACAAGCTCCTACAGCATATAAAATGTCTGGTGGAATCTCATAAGGAGTGTTTCATGGACACGTTGTTTCAAGACCTGGTGGAGGCACAGAGGAAATTGAATGATCTGTTAGCCCAAAACAAATCAAAACGATATTTCTTTGAATACTGCAACAAGTGCAGTCGTCCCCTAGAGAGAATATTGCGTAAAAAGCATTCTCAATGCCACGTCCATTCAATACATCATATGCCTAATGCAACCCCCCTTTGTTTACCATCCTTTGCTAATAAAAAAATTAAGTTAACTAACTATTGCTCACCTAATTTTTCGTTCTCGGACTTCTCCGCTGCAGCCGCCTGCTCCGGGATCTGCTCCAATCCACTACTTCTCATAGAGAAGCATTGGATTGAAGATATTCATTCATGACAGAAACAGGGGCCTTTGATTCCAGGACAAGTATCACTCGGTTCTGGAGGTGGAAGTGCCTCTAGTAGGTGTCAGGAAGAGATGCTTTACATTCCAGGGTTAAAATGACAGGATCATCGCACCCACAACACGTCATTCTGATCTGTGGTACTGTACTGCGTTTACATAAATCATAGAACACCAACAATGATTGCTTGAGATTTTGCACAGAGGATTAGACATAATGGATTTTGATTGTAGCAGAAATACTAGAGAATACTTGTAAATTATCTGAAGTAGGAGTGAAAATTGCAGAAGCATCTTAACAGCCAGTTTTCAGCTAATTTTAAAACCTAGAAATTGAAACGCTCACATGCATCAAACACAATACAAGCAAGTTAAAAATTATCCATGTAAGAAATAGTTCAAGTAAAATATTAACTGGGATGCCACAGCAAACCACAGGAATGCGGCTCTTATTCCCAAGCTTTGAGGAAGGAAGCTATGCAAGGTTAAGAAATCTGCCTAAAAATATCCACTGCCAAGTGTTTGTGGCCTTTTTCTGCAAAATAGTTTCATGCCATACATAGCATACATTGACGTGAATTTGTTAGAGTATTAATATCCTTTCTGGATTTTAACAGTTGATAGTAAAAAGTCTGACGTGGTATTTAAAACTGATCTGTCACTTTTGGGGGTGTTTGTACATTTTGCAGAGACATCCAAAGGTGACAACTCTAGATAGGGAAATGGTTTATAATAACACACTTCTCCACTATAAATAAAACGTATTCTACAAAAGGTATGCTATATAAAGCATATCAAAACAAATTTACATCGAGACTTTTCTTTCTGCCTAATATAACTGATATGCAACAGGATAGAATGTTGGTTAAAGCGCAGTTTTCATATTATTAAATGGATACTCTAAGCATTGTACTTACTACATCGCACTGATGTGGTTATGGTGCTGAGTCCCTGGCATCCTCTCATGATAAGTTGTCAAATAACTGAAAGACATTTTTACACTTTCCAGGCTCTATCTGTGGCCTTTCCTGTCTGCAGTGATATACTAAAAATGGCAATTCATACTTCTGCATTAGGATACCCAGGGCTGGATTTCCATTAGACTTCTTTTAGCGGCACTTGTTTTCAGTAATTTGAGTTTAAGTTGGCATGTGGAGAGATACATTTCTGGAGGGCTGGCCAATTTCTTCTGTAGTCCAGTAAGCCTCATATACCTCATACTCGATAGCAGAGCAGCAGAAACTGTTATGAGTGGGCTGTGCAGAGCCAAGCGCCTGCTCTGTCACTGACTGCGTAGTGAGCATTGAGGGGCTGCTGGGATCTCTCTGCAACCTCAGTTTGACACAGATCAGCTTCAGTGTGATCATTAAAAATATATGTAGGCATGTAATAAGTAGGATTTGCTCCTTGTGATTTTCAGGCATCTCCCCTGCCTAGTAATGTGCACTGATGGGCGATGACTGATGATGTCACTGCGCTGTGCAGAGCAGGGAGCAAGGAAGACTATAGAGACTAATGGATTCAAACACCGTCTGACCGAAGGTGTATGTATCGTGCCATATACTGAAGTGGTAACATGAAACTCATTTGTAATATTGAGATCAAAATAGCCAAGCTAAAATAATCTCTTTAGTTCAGGAAGAATTTTTCCATCCTTGCCATTTTGCCCAAATATAAAAAGGGAAAAGAAAGTAGAGTGAAAACGGGGAATACAAGTTTCAATAAAAGCATAAATAAAAGGTACAAAGAGCAATCGTACTTACTTGTGTCTAACATGATTACAGCAATACTGTGAGCTGGATTTTATGGCCGGTGACAAGGTTATCACCTGGTATCTAAGTAACAGTTTTATTATAGGATTCAATCAAGAATTGATGCTAAATTAGCAGAATTAAATGTATTGCAGGTTACAGAAGGTTATTCATTAAGGGAACCGTCACTTCACAGGAATTGAAAAAAACACTGCCTATAACTTGTGTTAACCTTTTCCGTGAGATACTTTACTTTATTTTAAATTTATATTAAAGATTTAGCAAATTACATTATAATCCAGTGCAGACAAGGCAAAGTCAGGACACACTGGGCAAATAAAAATGATATATAGAAACATTGTTTAATTTCTCCTCTCCTCTGTATATTTTCTGTAAAGGGACACTTCACTGTCCAAATACAAAATAAAGAAAACTCACTCTTTAGTAGATATACCCCAGATGAAAACTTGCATGCATTTTATAATGCATTTTTTTTTATTGGGGCTAAATCTAAAAACAGCTTGCAAAACTTGCAGTTCTCTTGTCTGCTGCCATTGCAAACCCTCCCCTACTAACCCCGCCCAGACCTTCTGTGACTGTCCAATCACAGACATTCCAATGAAGCTCAATGAGAAGTCTTTGCAATGCAGGTGCTCTGGGTAATTGCTGTCTCTTGAGTTTAGTTCCACTGAGCTAACCAAACCAGGAAGGAAAATAAACTGTTGTCTGCTTGAAAGCCAACGGGGTGTCACCAGTTATTTTCCAAAAGTAAAATTTTCTATAGAAAACTACACTTTCTGCAAAATGAAAAAAAAAAAAGAGGACACTATTCACAAGTAAAGCTTTTATGCATGCTAAGTGCTTTAGGGTTTAAAATCTAAATGGGAAAATAACTATTTTATGCATATATATTTGTATTTATTTAATACATGTGTACACCCACTGTACAGCGCTACGGAATCTGATGGCACTATATAAATAATAAAATAATAATAACAAAGCTATTTTGTACAAATGTCATTTTACAGAGCAATACAGTGACTAGTGCCTTCCACACAATATATTATAGTCATGCAACACAAGTCATTTTTTTTTTTTAGCAAATAGAGTATTAGCGAGGTATATAAGTATATAAAAGGGGTAACACTGTTCCTACTAGAGTTGTCTGTAATACAGGTCAATAAAGAGCGATCAATAAATCTCACTTGTAAACAAGGTAGTCCTTACATATTTAAATGCCTTCAGCACAATAAATGCATGCTACTGACTTCTCTGGAATGTCTTTACCTGAATGTTTAACCCCTTAAGGACACATGACATGTGTGACATGTCATGATTCCCCTTTATTCCAGAAGTTTGGTCCTTAAGGGGTTAAATGGTACTTCGCATTTTAAGCAACCTGATATTGGCCCTGTATATCTCTATCCAGAGAGCAGGCACCATATATATTTGGACCATTAAAGGCACTTACCCCACGTCATCTCAGTGAAATAATCTCAAAGGAGTGGTCTGGGTGCAGTGGCTATGCAGTTTTAACCCTACAATTGAAGACTGCAGTTTTAACCCTGCTATTTAAAACAGCGCAGAAACAATTAGAGAGTTTATGCACCTCTAGTGGATGTCTTTTTGACAGTCACTAGACTCGCATCCAATGTAAGAGCCATAACAAATTCAGTGTTCAATCAAATGCTGCTCATAAAACAGCATTTGATTGGCATAGCACATGCACATTAGCCGCCCAATGTTTTCTTATGTTGACTGGCTGAGATCATCAATCTTGGTGGAGGGACAGGACCCTCACCTGCATGGTGTGGGGGAGACAGGTAGATTAGAAATATAGAAACATAGAATGTGATGGCAGATGAGAACCATTTGGCTTATCTAGACTGCCCAATTTTCTAAATACATTCATTAGTCCCTGGCCTTATCTTATAGTTAGGATAGCCTTATGCCTATCCCACGCATGCTTAAACTCACTCACTGTGTTTACCTCTACCATCATATCCCCCCTGTCTCATCTTTCCTCCAAGCTATACATGTTAAATTCCTTTAACCTTTCCTTGTAAGTTTTATCCTGCAATCCATGAACCAGTTTAGTAGCCCTTCTCTGAACTCTCTCCAAAGTATCAATATCCTATAGCTTTAGGAATGTGAGTTTGATATTTTTTAACACTGCCCTATAGCTACACAAGGTACCCAAGATGTTTTTGAACTAAATTTGCAATGATGCCTTTAGTTTGGTTGAGCGTTTCTTTTTTCTAAACACCAGAAGTGCCAAGGGTAGTTTTCAATAATCTATGTTATCTATCTTGATATGTTGATTGATTGTTGATATACATTTGTATGTAGTTTTCACAATATTTTTTTTTTTTTTGCCATGAATGCAAGTCTCAGCAGATCTTCCTGATTCTGTGATTAAGAAACCCCACGGGCCGTAAGTATTGGAGGTCCGCCAGAATCTTAGCGAATTACATATCATTTTTCTCATTTCTATTCCACTATATTGTGTGAACTCTTGTGTACTACCCTGCAGCTAGTATCCATGACAT